CCTCCTCTATTTTAAGAACCTTTCTGATTATATTGGTTTCATCTTGATAACCATGTTTCTTATTCTCAAAGTCCTTAACTACATCTGTCAAGTTCTTTTTTTGCTACATAAGGTAGAAATTTTATGATACAGCTCCGATGACTGGAGGAACACCAGGGTTCTTGGTCTCACACCAGTTTGGATAAAACAACACGGACACGCATGGAGTGGTTTTAAGAAGAAAAAGGTTTAATATGCAAGAATGAAGGAAGAAGAAAACAGATACCCCATACAGAGACACAAGGAGGGGGGATTCAAACAAAGAGACAACTGTGTGTGCAGCAGAAAAGAGGCTCCTGTATGAGGAGGCTGGAGGAAGTGGTGTCTGATTTGCACAGGTGTCTGGGGATTGGTTTGACCAGGCATGTCATTCATGTAGCCTGCAAAATAACTGGTCTTCCCACACTAGCTTTTTAATACACAAATGTAGAGTGCCAAAATATTATATCCACATGGGGATATGTGGGGGCAGCCATGTGCCAGGCATATGTGGGAGCAGGGAAGAAGATGGTGGGAATCACCATGTTTGCTGGTACCAGTTTCTAATGGCCAGCATTTGCATATCAAAGCTTGCCAGCCTGACTCTAAGAGTCAGGGCTTTCCTGCTAGACAAGAAACTTTTCTGGAGCTGCTTTAAAAGAAAGAAAACCTTACCAAGGACCCCTTTTCCTCTCTATCTGCCTAAAATAATTTCTTAATAACTCATATAACACTTAGGTTCCACAGACGAGGACATGGATATCTTTTGGGGTGGGGACATTATTCATTCCATTGACAGTAAATATATTCCTCAAACTTGCCTTTCTCTAAAGTAAAATTTTAAAAATCATAAAGTATTTTTTATGAAGCAAGAGAGCTGGACAAAATCTTAGACTCAGGTTCCTTTCCATTGTGAGCTTTAACTGTTAAGGTATGATCACTCCACTTTCTCTAATGTAGATTTATTGATGTGTAGACAGTTTTAAAGGATTTTTAACTTTGTGACCCAGTGTAAACAAAACAGTATCTGAGACAGATCTCAATCAATGTATAGGTCTATTTTGCCAAAGATAAGGCTTATGGCCTGTGACACACCCTTAGGATGTCCTGCAAATATGTGCCCAAGCTGGTTGGATTACATGTTGGCTTTAAACACTTTAGGGAGAAAGAAATTACAGGGAAAGACATAAATCAATACATATCAGATATACATTAGTTTGTCCTGGAAAGGTGGGAAGGCTTCAAGCAGAGGCTTCTAGGTCATAGGTGGCTTCAAAACTTTCCTGATTGGCAACTGGTTGAAAGAGTTAATCTGTGCCTAAAGAGTTGAATTCATCCTAAAGAAATGCTTGAGTTTAGATAAGGGGGTGTGGAAGCCAAGATTCTTGTCACATAGATGAAACCTATGGGTAGCAAACAAAGTAGATGGTGAATGTTGTTTATCAGACCTTAAAAATCTATCAGACTCTTTGGAAAAGACTTAGTAAGGGGAGGAGATTCTCTGCAGAATGCAAATTTTCCCTACCACAGGCAGCTTTGCAGGGCCACTTCAGAATATGTCAAATAAATATTTTTAGGGTAAAATATTTAGATTTTCTTCAGGGCCTGTTCTCTGTCATGTTGGAATATGGTATCTTATTGCTACAAAGCATCTGTTTTGTCAGTCCAAAGGTCTCTGTTGTAATGATAATGCTGGTCAGTTGTGTCTGAACTCCAAAGGAAGGAGAGCATAATGAGGTACATCTAAACCCATCTGCCAGTCATGGCCTAACCTAGTTTTTTAGATTTCTTTGAAGTTCTCTCTGCCAAAAAAGGAGTCCATTCAGCTGTTTGGTGGCTTACAACTTAATTTTTTGTTTTAACTCACAGAAAAACAAAAATCACAGCATAAATTCAATCTAAACTAGATTTGTTTAAAAAAATTAAGTGCTTCCTGAATATTCCCACATGTCAAAGAAAGACATATGATAAGAATTCAGAGGAGAAATACCCCTCATACAAAAAAATAATGATTTTATTTACTATCTTAGTTTGGGTCTACCAGCAATGAAAATTCCTGTTTAGGCAGCAAATTCACACTGGAAGGAAAGGAAAAAATGAGGGAGGGAGCAGAAAATGAATGGTAAAAGACACATCAACAACCTACCTGGTTCAGGATAACTGAAGATCAACCACATGTAGAAACACGGACTAAATTCCTCTTGACCGTTCTACCTGAGAGATGAGGAAACTGAGGTATGTATATTCCTCATCCTGTCCTCCCTGATTGTGAGCTGTCTCTCTTTTTCTCTTTCAAGCTGCTATAACAGATTCCTTGTCACTGTGTAATTCATAAAGCACAGAAATGTATTTTCTCACACTTCTGGAGAATGGGAAATTTAAGATCAAGGTATGGGCAGGTTAAAGTCTGCTTTCTCTGCTTTCAAGATGATGCCTAGAGCATTGAGTCCTTTAAAGGATGGAAGACCAGGTCTTAACACGACAGAGGAACAGAAGAGAGAAAGAGATTGTAGGCCCAAAATCTCTGTTTATAGTGGCATTAATGTATTCCACTAGAGGGCTCCACTCTCATGACCTAAACACATCTCAATAACCCCACATGGCCATACCTTTACACTGAGATTTAATTTTACAACATTTGGATTCTGGTAGGACACAGTCAAACCATAGCACTTTCCTAAGACAGACCCAATCCAGGTCATCTGGCCAGAAATGCATGCAGGCAGATCTCTCTGCCCAAGATCACAAAGAACTTAAGATATAGATATATATATAGATATATATATATAGCCATTAGAAATGAGCAGAGGTACAGCAAAGGGGAAAACCCTAGACTACAGATGGGAACTCCTACATTCATCCTCGTACAGTTAACCCTTCAATAACTTGGGTTTGAAATTTGCAGATCCACTTACATTTTCTTCTGTGTGTGTCACCTGTGAGTAAGCACTTAATGAGTAGTAAATATATTTTCTCATTTTTACGGTTTTCTTAATTTGTTTTCCTTAGCGTACTTTTTTGGAAGAATAGAATATATAATATGTATAACATAAAAACGGGTTAATCAACTATTTATTGTATCACTAAGGCTTCCAATCAAAAGTAAGCTATTAGTACTTCAGTTGGAGATGCAAAAGTTCTACACAGATTTTCATCTGCACCAGTGCTCAGTGCCCCAGTCTCCACGTTGTTCAGGGGTCAACTGCTTTTTCAGTCTGTAGCTGCATCTCTCTGGAACAGCATCTTGGCAGGTGGGTTGCAAGTAAAGGAATCCAGAAAATAACATCTCAAACTATGCTGCATTTGCATGATGATTATGAAAAACCAAAGGCATTTAGAAAGCAGCAAATGCACAAAAAGGCTTTTCCTAAATATCCCTTATTTGCCTAAAAGCAAATTCTTCAGAAGGAAACCAATTTTCAAGAAAATTCATCCTGAAAATTTTTATATCAGGGAAGATTAACACAAAACAGGAATCAAAAATACAAGAGACTGGGAGTTGATACTTTAACCAGGCAGGTGATTACCTGCTCTTCTGAGGATGTGCTTCTATTCTCATGTATTCTCTCCAGGTTGCCTACACTTCCCAATTCCCTCTTCCCTAGAAAGGAAATATAAACACCTGGAACTCATTGAGTTATCTGAGTAATCACCCTGCAATGATATCCTGCTGCACTTTTAGTGAATTTTGTTTGCCTTTTCTCTTATTAATCTTCCTTTTGTCAGTTCATTTTCAGCAAACATTTAGAGAACAAATGGAGCTTTCTTCCTTTCTCCCAATATGAGCAAGTTCCCTTACAATTCAGGCTGCTTACAGAGCAGCAGGAAGGTTTGTGCACAGGCTACACCACTGTGATTTGGCTCCCCTACTTAGGCATCAGTAAAATTTTGTGGAGTCCTAGGCTGCAGCCCACTGATGCTGATGTAGTTGGATCCACTTTCCCTGTTACTGAGCCAGGCTGGGACATTTTTGGGCACATTAGAGATGTGAGATATAATGAGTGCAAATCCCTGTCCAGTTTCATCTGGATCCAGCTGATTTCTCCATGTACACGGGCAGTTGCTTGATAAAAGATTGAGTGTCTCCTTCCAAAAGATGTTAACAGGGAGATTGGTGTCTGGGTCAGGATGATATTCCCACTCACTGATAAAAAGTGAAAGAAGAAAGTGTCATTGATGGTGTGTGGCAGGGACCTGCTCCGTTCAGTGGTTACCCTCACTAAGAGAGATGAGCTTTGGGAAATAATACTCAGTGGCAGAAAAGAAGGTAGACTATGAAGGTGTCCAAAACAAGAATAAGGTGCAGCCCACTGAGTCTCTGAGTATAACAGAGACCTATAGCTCTTAATAATGGTGGATCTGTGAGTGCTGCATGCATTGAGGAAACACAGTATCAACCTAGTGTATCTGAAGTAAATTGCTTGATCTTATATTGGTAAGAACAGTGGCATAACACCATTATCTAACACTTACAAATACATGTAGCATCATGTCAATAAATTTTATTTTTAATGTTTTTAGAAAGGAACAATATTAAACTCACAGAAATGTTGCAAGTATATGACAAGTACCCCCTTCCCTAGTGGGAATCATATGAGAGTCTTTTGAAGACCTGAGAATTGTAGTGTCTAAAATTTTACTATGTGTTTCCTACAAAAAACAATACTCTCCTAAGTATTCCCCATACACCAATGAAATACATTATTCCATCGACTCCTGAGGAACATTTCAAATTGTCAAAAAGAAACCACAAAATATTTCTCTTCTAGTCCCCAGTAAAAACATTATCTGCAGACAAATTTGTGCTACCCTGGTCTTATCTGGGACACCTGGGGACACTAAGCCAGTGCTGAGTTACTGACATGAGCCAGCCCCGCAGCTGTGCCCAGCCTGCCCCATCCCCTGCTCATTTGCATGTTCCCAGAGCACATCCTCCTGCCCTGAGACTTATTAATAGGCTGATCACGCTTCATGCAGGAATCAGACCCAGTCAGGACACAGCATGGACATGAGGGTCCCCACTCAGCTCCTGGGGCTCCTTCTGCTCTGGCTCCCAGGTAAGGAAGGAGAACACTAGCAGTTTACTCAGTCCAGGTACTGCTTTACTATTCAGGGAAACTCTCTTACAACATGATTAATTATGTGGACATTTGGTTTTATGTTTCCAATCTCAGGTGCCAGATGTGACATCCAGATGACCCAGTCTCCATCTTCCTTATCTGCATCTGTAGGAGACAGAGTCACCATCACTTGTCGGGCTAGTCAGACCATTAGCAGTTATTTAGCTTGGTATCAGCAGAAACCAGGGAAAGTACCTAAGCTCCTGATCTATGCTGCATCCAGTTTGGAAAGTGGGATCCCATCTCGGTTCAGTGGCAGTGGATCTGGGACAGAATTCACTCTCACCATCAGCAGCCTGCAGCCTGAAGATTTTGCAACTTATTACTGTCAACAGCATAATAGTCACCCTCCCACAGTGTTACACACCCGAACATAAACCCCCAGGGAAGCAGATGTGTGAGGCTGGGCTGCCCCAGCTGCTCCTCCTGATGCCTCCATGGGCTGAGAGTGTTCCTCAGATGCAGCCACACTCTCATGGTGTTGGTAGAGGGGGACATGAAGTCACCTCTGCACCCGAATTATTTTCTCTTTCTCAGTCCCAACTACACAGACATAGCAATATCTCTCCTGATTTAATAAAGACAGAGACCATGACACTTGAGGAGTCTAGTTTATGGCTTCAGTTGGAATTCATATAACACAGAAGAAGCCACTATAGGTATTCTGAGCAGGAATTGCCTTAATACAGAGAATTAGAGTAAACTACTGAAGTCTAAATAAAATGTAGAGATGAATCTCTAAATTCAATGTTTTATTTGCAAAGAAATATTTGCCAAATGGGGCATACAGGAAAACTCAGGCAAGCTCAGACTGGTAAACACTGGTGGACAAAGTGAATCCTAGAATTATATCACGTTATCTCAGAAATTGTGGATGAATTGGTTGATGGTTCTTAATCCAAAGAGTTGACATGACAATTGTTTCATTAAATTGGAAGAAATGATAACATAAGCATGTGACCATTTACACTTAATGCAATACTGGATAAGTTGTCAACACAGAGTGTTAGGGTTTTGTGCGGGGGCCATAGATCTAGCCTATATAAGCAAGAGCAAATAGAATTGATGTTACATATTTTAGAGAGAAAGTGCAGAAAATATGGACCCTAGGGGACCTTCTGTAATGTTTCTATTTGTTGCCATCTCCACTGGTAAAACTCAGAGAAGATTTCAACAGTCATCAGGATGAAGTTCTAGGGATCACAATCATGTGAAGAATTCCCTGCACTTGGATTCCCAGTGAGGCAAAGGGAAGATGAAACACGTAGTGGGATATGGAGGCGTAAACACCAGAGACAGCCTCCTGGTCAGTTTAAACGTTGAAAAGTGTATTTATTTTTTCTCTTTAGTTTTATCACTGAATCATTTGGATCTAAGAAAAGTGATTATGGCTGGTTAGGCAGAAAGGCATTTATTATCATGAATTAAATGGATTGAAAACATTTGGGGAAACCAGAGTGGCAGCTCAGGCAACTCCAAGTACTCCTTTTGCTATTCCTTGACCCTCCCTGCCTCAATTTTTTCACACTCAAGAAAGATATTCTCATTTTGATAGGAACTTCGCAAATGAAGATACTATGCCCACAGGACTCTGGTGCCTGGCTGTGACCCAGACCAGGAAAATGATCATATTTGGGTGAGATCAGGCATTTCCCCTCCTTCATCTCCATCCAAAACCACTCGGTAGTGACACAGCTGATGGGCAGTCAGAGAAAGGGGTCAGCTCTCTAGTAGTTGATAGCAGAGCTGCTGTCCTTCTGGGGGCAGTAGTGAGAAGAGCTGCTCTCTTTTCTGCAGGAGACAGCTTGAATGTGGAGTTTCAGGCAGCAGGAGCTCCTCCCCAGCCTGCACCAGCAGTGCCATTCTTGGAATTGTTCCAGAGGCTTTGCCTGGAGCCTGTTCCTTAAGGCTTTTCAACAATTTGTAAGAAATTTAATATCCTCTACTAAATCCTTTCATGCTTCATGTATTTGACATTTGCAACAGGGAATACACACTGTTTACAGTGACATCACTTACAGCCTCCTTTTTTCTGGCTAAATATAATGCTTTCTAGGAGGACCTGCCAGAGGAAGCCAATGTGAACAACAATCCACGTCACCAAAAATGCAAGACAAATAAGCTCGGGAAAGCCACTGGGTTCTTACATAGTTCCACTGTACCCTGGTACAAAATGGGAGAGTGTAAAACTCTTAGCTCCATCATCAGAGAGATGGTGCAGTGTGACCTTCTGAGCATAGTAAGTCAGTATTTATAGACATTTAAATACCAACACCTTTAACACCAAAATACAGGCAAAAGTAGAAAAGAAGATAAATTAGACTACATAAAAATTTAAAATGTGCATCAAATGACATAATCAACACAGTGAAAATGCAACATGTGGAATAGAAGAAAATATTTGTAAATCATATATCTGATAGGGGTTAATAGTATCTGTTATATAAAAATAAGTCCTACACGTCAACGTTAAAATAAAATACACGATTAAAAATGCAGAAAGTACATGAATAGCACATTTCTCTAAACAAGATTCTTTAGAGCTAATTAGCTAACATAGGAAACAATGCTGAATATTATTAATCCTTAGAAAAATAAAAACAAAACCCACCTCACACTTACTAGGATTTTTTTTTTCCAGCAGAGAATGACCAGTCTTGGTGAGAATTTAGGGAACTGGATCTCCTGGGGACACTGTCATGGGTGATGTAAATGGCCCACCTGCTGTGGGAAGCCATATGGCCTTTCTTCGAAGAATTAAAAATTGAAATACGATGTAATTCAGCAATTCCACTTTTGGACATATACTCAAGTAATTGAAAACATTAACTTAAGGAAATATTTGTATACTCATATTCAGAACTGAATTATTCACAATAGCCAAAAGGTAGAAGCAACTCAAATGTTCACAAAGGAGGGAACTGGTAATCCAAATGTGGTATGTACATACAATAGCACATATTGTAGCTTTAAAAAGGGAAAATTAGCTTTAAAAGGAGAAATTCTGAAACATAGTACAACATCGATGAAACTAGAGGACATTACACTAAGCGAAATAAGCCAGTCACAAAAAGATGGCTGAGTTACGATTTCACTATGCTATTTGTAGAAAAGGTTCCATTTTGTCTTGAATCTACCTGGTCCCCTTCCCTTTCTTGCTTGTAGTTGTCAAGAATAACTGTAGAGTGTTCTGGAAATGTAACAGTCTGAGACAAAGCAAGATTGATGAGAAAACCATTGGCCAGATACAGCAAGAGGACTCCGTTTCTCTCCCTACTGGAAACAGGAATTCATTCAACATTCTAGCCCAGTGTGTCTTGTGATTCTAAGACATAAAACCCAGGGTGGGCTGCATTCCAGGGTCCCCGGGCTGCAGTCCTTGTGGGATATGCATGGTCTAGAGTCAGTCAGGCCCAGGCAGCTTTCTGCTTTCTCTGGCTGACTCTCCGTAGGTAGTAATCCACATCATGTTACTCGTTGTGCATGGGAGTTCTGTCTCACTGTCAGTTGGCAACCAGTGCACAGCAAATATTCTTGGCAAAATTGGTGCAGTGAGAAGGTTGGATTTGAGAGAACCATGGCTTATTGGTGAAGTTGTAGGAACAATATTCTCCAGTACCTGGCCCAGGACAGAGACATCAGCCTGGGGATGCAAGGCGTGGACATGCAGATAGATGCTTAATGCAGAGGAAGCATAAATGGGACATTTGTCTTTCCCCCATTAATATGGATCAGCTGGCTGACTGAATTGAAACAGAAAGAAAGGAATGTGGAAATGGGAATGGGGTACACAATTTCCTAGTTGTTAGACACTTATATGATTGCTCTTGCCTGGGGCCAGATAGCTCAGGACATGGGTACTCAAATGGACCCTGAGTCACCCAAGAGGAAACAAGAAAGATATTCTCAGTGGTCTCTGAAGCATCTGAGAAGAAACCAAAAGGAACAACAAGGGTCTTCCCAGAAAAGAAGGCTCACTCGCTAAAGAAGGGACATGGAAAAAAGGCCAGGGAAGTCTTATGCAGCGAGTTGGTGTGTTTGTGTGATTAGGCCACACTGCAGACCCACATGTCTTTGTCTGAATGGCACAACTAGGAATAGGGCAAGGTCTCCACCAGAAGCTAGTGGCCCTGTATTTCTGTCAAGATAAAAGGAGAAAATAAAGGAATTAAGACTTCGCTGGGATTTTTGTGTGCAGGAATCCACATGACAATATTTCCAGGTCCCCTCGGAAAAAATTAAACTCATGACATCAGAAGGTGTCAGGACAAATGCAGAGCCCGTGGTGAGTATGTGCGTGTGTGCTGATCTGCATGTGGACCATTCCCTTTGGGCCATGTTGGGTGCTGGTGACCATGGTTCTCACTGCAGAGTGCAATAGAGGTATGGACATTTTGCTGCTATGCCACAGAACATCACTGCTCCCTGAGGGGCTATCCCCACTCATAGCTAAGTATTCAAGACATGACAGTGGGGAATATCCACTCCTGGCTGCCACCTAAGCTTCTCAAGTCCCAGAGCGTAATTCAGCCAAAGCAGGACTGCATATTAAATGAAGAGCAGAACACTACCTAATTAATTTAATAGTTGCTACAAAAAGATTAAAATGTCACAATGTGCCCTGTCATGATGGAACAACCCAGTTAGGCACAACAAAAATACTCTGGGGACAGGAGGGTCATGGAGACTAACGATGGACTGTTTAACGCCGAATGCCAAGGCCACCTGAACAGGAAACCAAGGAAGTATCCCAGATACAGTTAATCATTGATGGCCCTGGTGGTACGCACTAATAAAAAGGAGACCCAAAAGCTGGTAGGCCTCTGTGGGTACTGGGGGCAGTATAAACCTTGCCTGGGTGTTCTTTTGGTCACCTTAGTCAAAATCGTGAACAAAATTGCCATCCTTGAACAGAGCCCTTTGCAACGGCAGCCTTGGAATCTGTTCAACAAGGCATGTCTGAGGCACTCCTTTAAGACCTTTAGATCCTGCTTGCTCAATGGAAATCCAGGTGTCCACTATTTCTATGCATGCTGACTGGAGTCTATGACAATGCAAAATTGTCACTGGGTGCACCAGACTCAGATTTGGGACACAAAAGTTTCCTGAAGCAGCCACCAGTTGTGCCTCTTTTGAATGGCAACTCCTTGCTTGCTGTAGGAAACTGATAGGGCCGAGTATCTCAAAGTTAGAGCACCAGGCGTGACGCTCCTACCTTAACTACCCATTCTCACTTTGGTGCCTACAAACACAGTCAATAAAACTAGACAGGCCCAACAGATCCAATTTATTAAATGGAAATGATACAGTCAGAATCAGCCCTAACCAGGATCCCACAGGACCCATGTGCCCCATGAACCAATGGCGAGCTTCGAGAAGGGAACAAATGATGCATAGAGGACAATTTAGTTTCTCCTTTGGCCACATAGAGTCAAAGATTCAGAGACATGTCTATATCAGTATGGCATT